TGGGTGATTCTGAAAATGCAGCCGTCAAAACGGTCCAAATCCTTTGAGTCTGAGAAAGTTTCCAACTCACTTCTTTCAATGAAAGAAATTACAGAGTATATTTTATTCTCTAATTCACAGATACCGTGCAGCAAGCATTACTGCTTGGCTCTGTACTGCATCATCTACTGCTGAGTGCGAAGACTAATCATAATGCTTTAAACAGTCTTCAGAAGGGAAACTCCAATGGTCAACTAAGAGTTCAAAGCAAATTGACTTATTGAAGTGACCAACTGGAAAGCAAACTGGAATATCTAACAATTTTTTACAGGATTTTGAGTCATGATATCCTTTAAAAAAGTCACCGCTATTTTTATTTTATTTTTTATTTTTTTATTTTTTGAGTTGGAGTCTCACTCTGTCGCCCAGACTGGAGTGCAGTGGCCGCTCCCGGCCACCACAGCCTTGACCTGCTGGCCTACGGCGATCATTCCGCCTCAGCCTTCCAAGTAGCCAGAATTACAGGCGCGCGCTACCACGCCTGGCTGATTTTTTGATTTATTGTAGAGATGAGGTCTTGCTGCCCAGGCGGGTCTCGAACCCGCGGGCTCAGGCAATCCACTCACCTCAGCCTCCCAAAGGCATGGAATTACAGGCTGAGCCACCGAGCCCAGCTGTCATCGCTATTTTTAACTCTCTATGATTCACATTCTCTGTAATGAATTTCAATAACTTAAAGTCATTTTTATTTTGAAGGTGATCTGATCTCTTGAAGTTCTGCATTTTTTTCTCTTACTTTCTTTTCTTACTGATAAGGCATATGAGAAGGCCTGAAGATGACACCTTCCAAATATTTTGCTAGTCCCTGTACCCTTCTCACTTCTGTAATTCTACAGTTTCCTTTCAGCATGCTATTACACCCATTGAAGCCATAAATCCAGGCGGCCTTTCTTCCATACTGCTGTTATGTCTTTTTGGATTATGCATACCAAATCCACATGGACTATTTCATCTTTCCTGAAATGGTTACTGAGTTAATGTCCTATTATCTCCTTTTCCCTGTCAGGAACACTGTGAGTCTCCTGTCCCTGCTGAGCCTGGGGGATGGGGTGGTGCAGGCTAATGGAATTGTCCTTCCTACCCTTTTGTGCAGTTATTCTCAAGTTTTTTTGTTCTGCTATATGGCTGTAACTCTGAACTTTTCCAGAGTTATTTTTATATATGAGTAGCCGCCAAATTGTTGCTCTTTGTGGAAGGAAAGGAGGCTGGGTTCTCCTATTTCACCACTCTGTGTATACATAGCCTCTCATTTGAGGGGAAGCATCAAGGCTCAGGGGTATACAATTGTTAGTTTTCTTTTAAAAACACTCAAGAGATGAATTAACCAGGTTACTATACAAAGTTGAAAGAATTATGAAATGAAAAAATCTTTTAAAAATTAGAATATAGCACAGAGACAAAGGAAAGAAAATGTAGAAAACAAATTAAGGGATATAACTGATGGAATGAGACGATCTTATAGGAATCCAATATGTGTGTCAGAGAAGAAACTGGAGAGAATATAAGCAAGGTAATATTCACCAGGATAAAGGCTGAGAATGCTCTATAACTGGCAATACACAAAAATCCACAGATTCAAGGAACAGGTATCAAAAACAAGAAAAAGATAAGAATTTTGTATGCCATGTATCACCATCACACACACAAATACACAAATCCAGCAAGCAGCCTTTATCAAAGACCTCCCCAGAAGCAGCAAGACCTTCAAAGCAAACTTTGTGGCATCAACACAAGAAGTCTCAGTGAAAAACCATGTTCAAAGTTTAAAAGACAATAACTTATTTGGATATAAATCAAAACAGAGCATTTGCCACTCACATTGACTTCTAGTGATAATCTTTCAAGAAAAATAAAACTGAAGCATCAAGGGCATCCCACGCAGTAAGTCATGATGAGAAAGCGAGGTTCTGAATACTGTCTGTGTGAAGCAGACCTAGAAGACATGACTTTGTGGGGTCAAAAGTGCCCCAGGTACACAACAGCCACAGCATGTGTGTCAGAGTATGTGCACATATGGGTTTGTGGATGGTAAGGTCCTGGTGTCATTCTAGAAGGAGATCAAGATATTTGTATCTTTATATTTTATAATCAAAATATATATGATAAAATGTCAAAGGTAAACGTAAATACATGGAAATGGAGACATAAATTCCAAATCCATAGAAAAGAAGTCTTATAAAGACATAAATGATATGAACAAAAATGATTAAAAAAATCAAGAAGAGCAAAAGAAGAAAAGCAAAGGAGGATCAAATATAATTTTAAAGTCAATGATTATAAATGTGCCGTATACACTGGGCTTACCACAAACCCAGTGACAGAATGCGATTGTCAGAGTGGACTGTGAAAAACAAGAAAGGAGCACAATAAATATAAAGAAAATGCAGGAAGAACAATGACCAAAAAAAGAATAGAAAACATGGGCAGAAAAGGTACCCATGGTTCCAAAAGTTGGTTCTTTGAGCTGACAAGTAAAATGTACAATCATCTTAAAAATTAATATAAAAGACTTTATAGAAAAATATTAACAAATACTTCAATAAATGGAACAGTATATGCTTTTCACAAGTAGGAAAGATAAGTCATAAAGGTTTTCATTCTCCCCAGAAAATCTAAATTTCATGCAATTACAGTCAAGCTGCCAACACTATTGTTTTTGAAGATTCCAACCTGAATCTTTTGAAATTCACAGGAAATAGCAAAAAAGAGAGTATGAAAAAAATATAGTGTGTTATGAGATAGCAAGCAGGCTAAGTACACAAGTAGCAAAAATTTATTATAAATATATGGTAATTAAATAGCATGTCATTGATATTGATATTGACAAATAGAATGCAGCAAAAGTCTCAGCAATACCCTTCTGTGCTCAAGAAGCTTGTTCTACATTCTAGGCAGCATCACAAATCATCCAGGAAATAATACCAAGGCCACTGGTTACCCATAAACATGAGTCTGGATCCTCATCTTTCACATGTTTTACAAATATAAAACTTATATGATTTAGAGACCTAATGTAAAAAGCAACCCTTAACAATATTAATAGAAAAATACAAACAAATACATGTATGAACTTAGGATAAGAAAGAATCTTTAAAAAAATTCTAAAACCACAAGCTCTAGTTGGAATTAATTGAGATACTTGGTTATGTTGAAATTAACTTCTGTTTATCAAAGGATAGAACACATAAAATGAAAAGACATTATAAACTGTGAGAAAAGATCACAATTCATTACAACAAAATTATCAAGTGTATATAAACATTTTTAAAAGATTGATAAGAAAAAGAAAAACAACTTTAAAAGTAAATGGGCAAAAGAGATGGATAGCATTTCACAGAAAAAGGAAAATCAAAGGTAAATAAAGATAGGCAAAGCAAATACAACTTATTAGTAATGATGAAAATGAAATAAAACCCTAAAAAGGTAACCATTTTATACTATAACACTAAATAAAACCCTAAAGGGGTAACCATTTTATACTATAATTTGAATATTAAGCCAAAAACATGCCTAGCTCTAGAGAGGCTGTGATCAACGAGAATTTTCCAGTGCTTGTAGGAATATAAACTGGTATAGCCATGTGTGAAGAAAACTTTTAATTATTTTGAAAATTATACATTGGCATAATCTAGTACCCAGAAATTCTACCTTTTGTATACAGCCTTGAGATATTCATATGTATTCATGTTTATGCCAGCTGTGATTTCAATGATAACAAACTGGAAAAACAAGCAAATATAAACAAAAAACAAATATCTATGGGAAATTGATAATGGACAATATATCACAATGTATTCAGACAACAAAATATATGATAGCAAAAGAATCCCGCAAAGCATAGTAGTAAGTAAAAATACAAATTTCAGAAGACTATGAAAGAATAATATTTTATAAGGCTCAAAATAAAATGATATGGCATTGTTTTGGGGATAAATGCATAAATATAATGCTACTTTTATGATTGAGGGAATGGTAAACACAAAATTCAGGAGGATTTTTATCTCTAGGCAGGCCAGAGGTTGAAATATGGGAATTTACAGATAGATAAGTGAGTAACAATATTCTAATTATTGATAAAAGTCATGGGTTCATGAGCATTTATTTTATTATTTTGCATCATAACTCACATAACTAAATGCAACTTTTAATTATCAAAAACCCTAGTAAATAATTAAAAATGAAAAAGCAAGACATCTTAAAAATACATTATACACGCATGAATCGTTTTCTCTAGGAACTACCTGCAGGCCAAGTAGCTGGCCATTATGGTGATATGATTGGATTTGATTTGTAATAAAACATTTTTTCAAATTACTGATAGAACCCTAAATTCTTATCCACTACTACCTCTTGGATAATGACTCCATGTACCGAGGGGGCTGGTCCCAGGTCCTGCTGTGGGCCTTGGAGTCCAGGTTTCTGGGGGGTTGTTGCTAGCCCAGTGCCCAAGGTGGGCTGCAGTTTCTTCCTTTTGTTCAATTCTGGCTTTCATGAGGGAGGGGATATTTGTAATATGATGAAAACTATTGCCATATACAGTACTCCCGTTTCCTTAGGCATTCTCTGTTAACCAGAAATAAACCACTTTCAGTGTCTCTTTTGAGTGAGCCTCGTGGAATTTCTCTAAAATTAAGCTGCAGGCTTTCCTACAGTTAAGGTTATATGGTGAGTCAGAGATGGAACTTTGAATCTTACCTTCAAATTAAGTATTCTTGCCTGTTCACTGAGATATCAAGAATTACAAACTAAAAGTATCCTATAATACAATGACAAGGCAGGCCACATGGGAATACATGTCAACGGAACAGCATCTTACATCTATATTTTAAGTATTTCCTCTCAATAAGTCATAATTATCTTCCTGGGGCAGTGAAGCATTTTAAAAAATTCTGCATAGAGATTTTCTCTGGGCTACTGACATTTCTGTTAAAATAAAGTTTAATGAGAATCCACAAGCTTACTGTGTTACTGGAATTTCCATTCAGATGCAAACCACTGTCAAAGAGGGGAGAAGAGGCCCTGCTGCTGTGGTCACTGGATGGCCCTGGAGACCCTGCAACAAAATATAGGACATCCTTTGAAGGGACATGATCCTATCAGACAACTTAAAGGGTTTTTCCAGAGATAATATTGAAAAGCTCACTTTCCAAGCACCTGGCACAGTTCAGGTAAGCAACCCATTACAGTTTTCCTGTAAACACAAGACTGTGCACCCAGAGTGTATGTACCTGCCTAACAGAATCGAGTTCAATTCGTAGAAGTTCACACTGATGGAGCATTGCCAGGGGGATGCAGAATACTTTCTTGCCATCTCCCAGGCTCCAGGAACAGCTCATGGAGAAATCCTATATTCACTGCTTGATTGTCCTTTCCTACCGGTATCTTCTGGCCGGAGTGTAAGAGCGGGCAGCTCCCGTGTGTACTTAGTGTTTCAGTTCATTCATTTGTGCAGTAATAAATGCCTTGTCAATAAAGATCCATGAACACGCCAGCCTGGCTACGCCAGTTTTCCCAGCCAGGAAGAGCAGAAGCATGTAGGCTCTAATAATGGTGTGTCCCTGAGCAAAGACCAGGCCCTGTTATTAGATCTTCTGAGCACTTGGAAAGAGGAAAGTAGCACTGAACACGGCAGCAGTCGCAGAACTGGTCACCTCCTGGCTACAAATTGTCTCAACTCTATGGTGCTGCTAGCAGAATACAGGTTTGAACACCACCCGAGTCACTCTCAGGAAAGACCCTTGTGGCGCTGAACACGAATGCCCAGTAGACATCATTCTGTACGTTTGGACTTGGGATACCATGTTGCACATCTATTTCCTATGATTAAAGTGAAGACCAACTGGCATCCCATATGCAACACCCTCATTTGACTGTCAGCCTTGCTGCAGCCAGATGGGAATGCGGTATGGCTTGGTGAGGAGGGTATTCTGCAGTGAGACCACTCAATCTTGCATCTGCACTGTTGTAACGTTCAGCAAGTCAACACGTTACAAGGCATCCTTTTCCCATCTATATAATATCTAAGAAGACTAATGCTTTATAAAACATGTCACTCAAGATTATTTCATGAAAATTAAGATATTGAAAGGTTTGGGGAACTCTGGGACAAAGAGGGAACTGTTTAACTTTAGTACTCCATTTTATTTGACAGATGAACTTTCCTATTTCATGTACTATTGTCTAGGGCTTGGTGAAGACTCTGCTTTAGACCACCTTTCCACTGCCACTGTACACAGCACATTTCAGAGCACAGTTAATGGCGTGACACCCGAGTTCATCTTTCAGCATGTAGATGTACATCTCATTACATTATCTATGTACACTTTTCCTCCAATGCCTGTTGGTTTATGTTTATAATCAGCTTATCAGTCATTTGAGAGCAAAACCCAAATATTTTTCATTGACTGCATTCTTTTTCAAAACTCCAAGGGCAATTCCATAGCTAAAGGAAATACATGACTAATGATAGCAAACAGACAGATGACAAAGAATGAATGGACACATCAGTGAGAACACTTATATTTGATAGTCATGCACAGGCCCTAGATTTCTATTATTTTATTTATGATGAGGGTATCTTTTCATCTTTTATCTTTTATCCCAAAGGAGAAATCTGAATAGTCATAGTAGCTTTCTTTGTTTTTCACCAATAAAAATCTGCTACTTAAAAAAGTTAGTATCAAAAATTATTAATGATAAAAATATACTTAGTGGGTACAAATCTACTGAAACCATTTTGATTACCCTCTTTCAATGATGGCTGGAATTAAAAATGGTGCAGCCACTGTGGAAAATAGTTTCACAGTTGTTTAATTAAAAAATTAGGGGCAACCCCTTCAGGTCCCTTCCCACTGTGGCAGTTGTTCTGTCCTCTCAATAAATCTTGCTTTCTAAAAAAAAAAAAAAAAAAGAATTTAAACATAGAGTTACCACATGATCCAGCAACTCCACTCCTAGGTATATACCCAACGGAAAGGAAAACACGACCAATCAAAAATGTGTTAATGAACGTTCACGGCAGCATGCTTCACAATAGCTCCGAAATAGAAACAAGACAAATGCCTATCAGTAAGGGAAAGGAATACTGTTAGCCAAAATACTGTAGTAGTGACACATGCTATGATATGGGTGACATGATTCTGAGTGAAAGAAGTCAGTGCAAAAGGCTACACATCATATGATTCCATTTATACAAAATGTCCAGAACAGGGAACAGGCAAATCCATAGAGACTGAAGGAGATTAGTGACTGGCAAGGGCTGGGAGAGGGGATCACTGGGACTGTTATTTGGTATAGGGGTTTTCTCGGTTGATGGCAATGTTCTGGAATTAGACAATAGTGATGATTATACAGCATAGTGAAATACTAAAAATTGCTGAACTATCACTTTAAAAAGGTAAATTTTATGTTGTATAAATTGTATCTTTATAAAACGGACAGGAGTATGACTTTATGTAAAAAATAAAAGACTACACTTAATCTCAGTGGCTATTCATTTTCTCTTTGATATCATTTTTGAAATGTTGAAACTTTACATTTTCCTTATAAATCTGATGTGATAGCTTCCCTCACTGCTAATTGCTATTGCTGGATTGAATACTGGCTCATGCCACCAAGCAACACAGTACTTGGAGTCAGTTCAGGCAAAAGCAATTTTGCCTTCATGATGAGAGTTCACCAGAGAATTTCTAGCCTGAATTTATGGAGAGATTATGGTCAAAGTGCTTACATTTTTATGGATATTAAGATTTTAAAATTTTTACATTATAAAGAACCAAGTAAAAGGAGAATAGACACTTATTGATACATGAAGACTCAACATTCCTGCCAAGGATGAAGCCAGAAGAGGTAGGTCCTATGTGACTTGGGCACCAAGCTAATGCTGAGTTCCCCTTCCTTCCACTGTGTGTGTGTCCCTGTGAAGAAATGCAGATGCCTGCACATGTATATTTATTGCAGCACAATCTACAATAGCAAAAACCTGGAACCAACCTAGGTGCCCATCAATAGTGAACTGGACAAGGAAAATGTGGTCCGTTTACACCATGGAATACTACACAGCCTTAAAAAGAACCAATCATATTCTCTGCAGCAACATGAATGCAGCTGGAGATCATCATTCTAAGGAAACTATCATAGAAACAGAAAATTTAATACCACATGTTCTCACTTATAATTGGGAGCTAAACTCTGAATACACTCAAGCATAAGGATGGGAACAGCAGATGCCAGGGGGTCCTAAAGTGGGGAGGAAGGGAAGGAGGAGGGCAAGGGTTGAAAAATCACCCATTGGGTACCATGCTCACCACCTGGATGACAGGCTCAAGAGAAACCCAAACCTCAAAATCATGCAAAAAACCTTCACATGTACCCATTGAATCTAAAATTATATATATATATATATATATATACATATACATACACACACACACACACACACACACACACACACACACACACACATATATATGTGCATATATATATTAAAAGAGATGTCAGATGTCATAATTCATTCTGGAAAGAAAAGAAAAGAAAAGAAAAGAAAAGAAAAGAAAAGAAAAAGAAATGTGGATCTGCTTGCTCAGCTGAGCTTGTCAAGGCAAACCGGCAAGGGGTGGCAAAACCCTGCCCAGGACATCAGCCACAAAGCTAAGAGAAGCCACTGACCGATGAATGTGCCCACAGGTTTCAGCTGAGCCGGTGAAAAGAAGTTAGGATGCAAACCTCAACAGAAATAGCATCATGTGACCCAGGCTGAGTGAGGTGCTGAAACGTCAAGAGCTCCCCATCCTCAGATGGAATGGACAACCTCAACACTGTAGTGACCCTTAGACGGGGCTTACTATTTATTTATTTATTTTCTATTTTATTTTATTTTTTGAGTTAGAGTCTCACTCTGTCACCCAGGCTGGAGTGCAGTGGCACACTCACAGCCACTGCAGTCTTGGCCTGCTGGGCTCAGGTGATCCTTCCGCCTCAGCCCTGCAAGTAGCTGGAACTACAGGCACGCGCTACAGCCCAGCTAATGTTTCGATTTGTTGATTTGTTTTTCGTTTTTGTTTTTGCTTTTGTTTTGAGTCAGAATCTCGCTGTCACCCAGGCTGGAGTGCAGGAGCACGCTCATGGTCACTGCAACCTCGACCTGCTAGGCTCAGGCAATCCTTCCACCACAGCCTTCCAAGTAGCTGGAACCACAGGTGTGCACCACCACACCAGGTCATTTTTTAAAAATTTATTGCAGAGAAGAGTTCTCGCTAAGTTGCCCAGGTTGGTCAAACCCTGGCCTCAGGCAATCCTCTCGCCTCGGCCTCCCATAGTGCTGGAATAACAGGCTCGCCTCCATCCGGCCACTTCATCTCTGCAATCTGGGTTGCACTGTTGCTGCCACTGTTTTAATTCCACTTCTTCAACAGTATCGGGAAAAGCTGGCCAGGAAGCCTTGTTTTTCTCACTTGCCTCTCTGGTAAGAGAAGTCAGAAAAGCCTATGACGAATGTCCTTGGTGTCTGCATCTTGCTTTCTGTCCCGGCACACAGCTACACACGAGACGGATACACAGGGAAGCAGACACCCCCTGCAGGACGATGCTGAGAATCAGACATCATCTGCTTATGCCAAGTCCAAATCGTGAGATGAAAATACTGTCCAGCCTTGGTGGTTATGAGGACCATTTGCCTTCTGCTAAAAGAACACTGTGAACCCTGGAAGAGCCTGAGGTTCATACAATCATAAAAATAAGACAGTGGCAGGAGACAATCATGTTGTAGGATGAACTTTTTACAGTCATTTTTCTTAGACATTCTTTCTGAGATTTAAAAGAAAATTGAGAGACTACAGACACCTTCAAAGTCCTTCTTCAATGTCAAGGGAATACCATGCCCATAAGTAATGGGACCAAACTTTCTCTTTGTCTACATTTCTCTAGCTCCACCCCCACTTTACCACAAGGCAGAGCACCCCCTCCCCCCATGTGGTCCTGAGTCCTTCCCTATCTCCATTCACACTGCTCACTGTTCTGCTTTTGTATCCAATGCCACAGTGTCTGCATCACCAGCAGACAGCAGCTCCTGGGGAGCTGGGACTCTGCCTTCAAGACCCTTCCCGATCACCAAGGACATCACTCACAAAGAGTGGCAGAGGACCACACTGCCAAGTCAGAGGAATGGCAATAGCTGTGTGACTTTAATAGAACCAGGACAACCGAATAGAATGAGTAAAAGTCACAATAATTATTCTCATTAAAACATTGTTCTAGATTTGAAATTCATCACTGTCATACATTATTGCAATTCAAGTATAATAGAAGAGTACAAGTTTTGGATCCAAATATGGAACGTACTTCATAGATACATTTATCATTATTTTTCATTTTTTTTTTACACAGAAAATTTCTCAGGTCAACTTAGTCATTTCAAATATACATTTTGTTTGTATATATGTTTAGATGTGCATGTATAAGAAATACAATTACAGTAAGTTCACTTGAGGGAAGAATGAAATAATTAATTGGCAATTGTAAGACTGATGATACCATCTTTTTTGGTTTTTATTATCTGGAGTCTCACTCCATCACCTAGGCTGGAGTGCAGTGGCACGCTCACAGCCACCCCAGCATTGACCTGCTGGGCTCCGGTGATCCTTCCACCTCAGCTTTCCAAGGAGCCGGAACTACAAGTGCACACAACAAGCACACCTGGCTAATTTTTGATTTATTGTAGAGATGAAGTCTCACCAAGTTGCCGGGGCTGGTCTCGGACCCACAGGCTCAGGCAATCCACTCACCCTGGCCTCCCAAAGTGCTGGAAGGACAGGCTGAGCCACTGAGCCCCATGGATACCGTCTTTTAAAAAGTCTGTGGATATGTTAAAATGTAGACTGTCTTAGAAATATGTAATACTGCAAGGCCTGTCTGTATCATTCTTCTTGCAGAATATTATGCTCAGGAAATAATGTATACCCTGCCAGTTCTGTAGCATTTGGGTAAGTCACATGGCACAGGAGTAGTTTCTACCATACCCTTGAATTTCTCCCCTTTCTGCTTACCTAACGGGAGCTTCAGAAATGACGGCGCTTCCCTGAGATACTCAACAGTGATGGTAACTTCATCACCAGCATTTCTCAAAAGATGTACCTGTCAATATGACAAAAAATAGCTACTTTACCATCACAAAGGGACCAGACACAGAATTTAAAAATAAAATCCCTCCACACCTCTCCTGTTTCCCAGAAATTCAAAATTTATGATTACCTTTAAAACACTGAAAACTCTGTAGGATTAAACTGAGATAGTGAAAGAATGGCTTTAACTTCCAAAAACACAGAATTCTATACCTTATCCACATAAATGTGTCTACACATCAGCGAGGTCTGTCATTTTTATCCACAAGACCAGGCTTTCTCTATGAATGTAACCTACCAGAAAATACAACCCTTGGAGAGAGCAACTTGTTAGTACAGTCAATTTTCAGACTGGCAAAACATATCCACTGGATTAACTGTGAAACAACAAACCATAAATACTCATTTAAAAGCTTAAAAGACATCTTAATTTCAAGAATATGAACAGTCATCATTTTAATATGATGCAACACACTTCTCTGCTGGGGTTTCAAATTATCCTCACAGTTTTAGTCAATGCACATAGAAGTCCATATATTTCATCACTTATAGAATCTAAAGTCAGCTTTTAACACACAATACATTTGCTGTTGTTTAAGTGAGTTTCATTGAGACACCAGAAGTCCAGATGCTGTGATACTGTGTTTATCAGAATCCACTGCACTGTATCCTGTGCACGTCCATAGGGCATGATCCTCCTTCTAGGATGGTCATAGCCAGCCCTCACCTGCACACAGAAACTGTCAACAATCTGGACAACTCTTTCACTCAGGCTTGTCATTCCCTCTGCTCTTGCCTCTGTTTCGGTTGCTTGCCAAGTCCATCTTTTCCAACCTGGATGATTGCAGCTCTGCACAGCTGCCTAAATGCCTGGTGACACGTGCTGGAGGTGGGGGGTACAAAGCCTGCATTTAATACATCTGAAGGTCCCCAAAGCCAGGGAATCTCACATCAATGGCTTTCCATCTCACTCATGGGCATTTCCATCTGGCATGGCCACTGGTCCATCTCCATTGCCTGTTCCCTCCCAGGCCCTCCGAGCAGTCCCAACTCAGGTCATCCCCACAGGCCATCCTTGCATATCTCTGGGGTTTCTCTAAACCTTGATATGCTCATCCCTTTTCTTTATGCCTCATAAAATCCTATGAAAAATTTTAGACTTGAGTCAGCACAACTGCTGAATGCTCCCACAAGCACTGTCAATTTCCTTTCCCTCCTCCTCATCATGTTGCTGGAGACCGTGTACAGACAGTCTCCTGGTGCTATTGGGAGTGTTTCTCAAACACTAAATTCCTGTGGTCCTGTGGCAGGCACCATCTCCACTGTCCCTCAGCAGCCTGGCCAGCCTTACCCCAATCACCCGTCTCCAAGCCATCTCCTTTCACTCATTCTTTAGATAGGAGCACACACCCCATCAGATGCCTATCTCCAAGTGTCCAAGCTCTGTCTTCACATGTCTTTAAGTACAAAATGACTTGTCTTGAAGTACAAAATGCAATAGCAGCACTTCTCAGACTCACTCAAGGAAAGTAGTCAAAGCTTAACAACTCGAAGATCTGGCTGGGACTGTCCTCCTTCCCTGCACAAGATCTTAAAGAAAAAACATAACCAATCTGAATCTGTTTCTCCTCCTCCTTGATAAAAAGAGGCAGAACATACCTCTACTTTGACGAATGGAAGCCAAGACGGTCTGAGAGAAGCTCAATGTAATGACATTCTCTCTGCATGGAAGGGCCATCATTCTGCAATTCCGTAAGGAAGCCCTTGTCTCTGGACGTGTGTGGCATGAGTTGGGGGGGTCGGGGCGAGATCAGAAGGCTCCATCTCCTAACACAATCTTATAGGCTTTAAGGGTTTTGGCATATGAACTCAAGGGGACAGAGACATTGAGTCCACAACACAGGAGCTGGTGGCTGACATTAGCATAGTTCCCCCATGGAGTCTTGAAGACTAGACCTATTGCCTGACAATCTTCCAGGGGAGCAGAGAGCACACCTCGTGATTGTACACTCCACAGTCTCAGAAGACGCTGTGCAATTTTCATTGAACTGCAACATACTGGATAGTTTAGATACGAAGTAACATAAAAATATGCAATGAAAAAATTCATATCTTTCACCTAGCAGATCCTCAGTTTGATACCTCAGAGACAAATGTTGCTGGGATATTTTGGGCTTCTTTCTAGCCATAGTGTATGCATCTCTAAGAATGTCTTCTCCTTCGAGGGTGATTTGGTTAAATCTGTTGGATATAAAATACATGTGCAATTTGACCCAGGAATCATATGAACAGATGCATTAGTGTGTGGGAATAAAGGGTTATGCACAGGAATTTTCATATATGAGGTAGAACATTTATCCCATTTATTTACCTTATTTTCACTTAAATGAAAACCTGCCCTGAACTATGTTTGATACATTGTTTTCTTTATCTAAAACATGGATCTTGGAGCTTACACCGTATTATTCTTTTTTTTTTTTTTTTGAGTTGGAGTCTCACTCTGTCGCCCAGACTGGAGTGCAGTGGCCGCTCCCGGCCACCGCAGCCTCGACCTGCTGGGCTCCGGCGCTCCTTCCCCCTCAGCCTTCCAAGTAGCTGGAATTACAGGCATGCGCTACCACGCCCGGCTGATTTTTTGATTTATTGTAGAGATGAGGTCTCGATGCCCAGGTGTGTCTCGAACTCGCGGGCTCAGGCAATCCACTCACCTCAGCCTCCCAAAAGCACGGGATTACAGGCTGAGCCACCGAGCCCAGCCACCGTATTATTCTTATATTTCTATCTCTTTTTCATGAATTCACAGTATTCTATTTTACAAATGTTCCGTAACTAATTCTATGTTTGATATTTGAATTTCTGTTGAGTAGGTTCATAATCTCTCCTTTTTCATTCTTAATCTTATTTGTATTTTCATGAATGTTTCTTCAGGGTCTTTTCAGAGGTGTCTATATCTTGCTTTATTACAAGAAAAAACTTGAGATAGACTTTTGGTATTAATAACTTTTCTTCTTTTACTTGCTCTCTGTTTTCTCTTTTATGAATTTTGCATTTTTGACTTCATTATCTCTTTTTTATTCCTGTGGGTTGCTCTGTTGCTCTTTCTTCAAATTAAGGAGACAAATGGTTTTTTGGCTATTTACAAAAATGGTTTTTTGGTTATTTACTTTCTTGCTTTCAATAGGTAGAAGCTGAAAGCATTCCACCTATGAACAGGAACAAACAAGGATGTCCACTCTCACCCATCCTGTTCAACATAGTGCTGTAAGTCCTAGTCAAGCAATCATGCAAGAGAAGGAAATCAGGGGAAAAGAGGAAGTTAAGCTGTCCCTCTTTGCAGATAATATGATTCTATATCTTGAAAACCCTAGAGAGTTTGTCAAAAGCCTCCTCACACTGATAATTGACTTTGGTAAAGTCTCGGGGTACAAAAGCAAATGCAAAAGACAGTTACATTCCTATACACCAGCAACAAGCAGGCAGAGAATCAAATAAAACGCACGATCCCATTCACAATAGCCACAAAAAAAGAGAAAGAAATACCTTGCGTAACCAGAGAAGTAAAAGATCTTTACAAGGAGAACTACAAAATGCTATCAAAGAAATCAAGGATGAAAAATAAATATTCTCAAGATGTCCATCCTACCCAAAGCAATCTACAGACTCAATGCAATACCCACCAAATTACCAACATCATTTTTCTCAGACCTGGAAACAATAATACAAAAATTTTTATAAAAACAAAAAAGAGCATGAATAGCCAAAACAATCCTCAGCAAAAGGAACAAAGAGTGCGGTACCACACTTCCAGACTTTAAACTTTACTACAAGGCTACGTGACCAAAACATATTCTACTATTGGTACACGAATAGGCACACAGGCCAATGGAACAGGACAGAGATTCTAGAAGCAACAACTCAGTCTCATACACAGACATGCACAAATGCTTATTTTCCCTCCTCCTTGCAGCACTCCTGCATACAAGCTTCTTGGACCCCATGAAGACTTATGTCACCTGGTGACAGTAGCCCTCTCTTGTCCTATGCCAACAGCTTTACATTCCCCTCTATTCAGGTTAAATGCCATGGTTTATCACTATAACCTGTTCCTGCATACTCCCCTCTGGCATTTTGTACCTGTCTGACAAAATCCTAACCATGGTTAAGTGTAATTGAAATAATCCACTTCTGGCTGGGCTCGGTGGCTCAGCCTGCAATCCCAGCACTTTGGGAGGCTGAGGTGAGTGGATTGTCTGAGCCTGTGGGTTTAAGACCCACCCGGGCAACTTGGTGAGACTTCATCTCTACAATACATCAAAAAATTAGCCGGGCATGGTAGCGCACGCCTGTAGTTCCAGCTACTTGGAAGGCTGAGGCTGAAGGATCGCCGGAGTCCAGCAGTTTGAGGCTGCGGTGGCTGGGAGCGGCCACCGCACTCCAGTCTGGGCGACAGAGTGAGAGTCCAACTCAAAAAAAAAAAAAAAAAAAAAAGAATCCACTTCTGCACATTTATGACTAGTCACTAGAAACTTAAACTGATGTTTAAGAGCACAAATAGGCACTGATGTTTTATTTAATTATCATTAATATTATTCTTTCTTTCTCAGTAGTTTTTTTTTATAGAAGCTAGCACTAGGTCTACAAACTAATATCCTTTCAACCTTCTTCCCCTCCAGAAACAAAGAGAACGGTGTGTGTATTTGGTAGAATTCCACTAACTGTCTTTCCCTCAACTACTTGTCATAGTGCACTCAGATAAAGCTACGTTTAATAAAATTAATTTGGCCATTGCTTTATTAAACTCTAGTGTGTCCATGTTGAACTATGGCTGCCATGTTTCTTGACTTGGGTCCTCTCCCCTACCTTGTAGAGGTGACTCTACCCACCCGCCTTTATTTTCTAAATAAACTATATTTTTCTATCTAAAAAAAAAATTTATCTCTTTTCTATATGAGTTTTCAAATGCTTCATTTATATGAACTTGTGTGAATAAGAGAAGGATTTTGTTTATGAATAACTCCCTTATACTTACTTTTAAAGTCAGGACACTTTGGACAAATAAGTTATCTTACTGCAAATGATTAAAGTAATATCCCTTAAAGCCACAGAGTAGTAGTTTATGCAACTGGTCCTATGACTGTGACATTGAATCTGTTCATCATCGTGAACTCCCACCAGAGTGTGGGCTGCTAAGAATGTCTATACAATGGTCAAGGCTTTAGAACATACATAAAATCAAGATAACTCTGAAAGCTAACTTCTGTGCATGGAACAATGGGAGCTTTAAATAAAACTGCCTGAGGCAATCTCCTTCTCCTTTATTAAATGACGCATGAAATATCTATCTATAAGTTGGCATCCTTCAAAAACCTCCCAGACCATTGCAACATCAGGTTCATATTGCCCCATGGAGTAGGTTGTGTGGGGGGCCATCCAGACCTCACATTTCTAGTCTGAGTATGGAGCTGAGTCTCCAGAGTCCAAAGAATTTCCATGACCTCAACAGACAAAGAACAAAAGAAAGCAAACAAACAAAAACTCCATTGTAGTTTACTATGGAAAATGACTTATACTATGCTGATAAACAAACAGAACACAGGCTATTAAACGCTCCATTCTTCATAAGGTTTAAATCTCATTGCCAGTATTCTTTCAACATTTAAATCTAGTATTTGTATTTATAGGAATCTACTTCTGGAGATTAGAACTTTATCAGGCTGGTCGCTCTTATCTGGACCTTGCACATACATGCTTGAGTGTCTGTGAGGGTTATGTCAACCACAA